TTTTTTTTTTTGCCATCGCATAATCATAATACACAGTGTATTAATCCGGTCTTTTGCTTCTTGAATCAAGACATCTCCTAACAGAAAACAGGGAAAATGAAAGGCGCTTCCGGGTGAGACCAATATTGAAGGCAAGGAAAGCATATGGATTTTATCATAGTCTTGTTCAAGAACTTAACTTGGGAATCGAGGAATAGCCTGAACGGCAAGTTACTGTAACTAGGACGTTCATTGGCCAAAATACAATGAAAGAGCATATCCCATTATGATTATGACTATGAGCGCTAGATTTTGCGTTCCCACTACGACATAAGCATAATCACAAACTTAATCATAATCATAAGAAAATGATCGATCATTTTCTTATGATTATGATTATGTCGATCTTAAGCGTCTTTATGATTATGTTTTTTGGCGTTTCCACTACGACATAAGCGACATAAATGCTCTTATGACTATGATTATGATTGTTATGTCGCTAGTGGGAACCAGCCCTAACAGTTGGGGTTTTTAATTTAGTTATGTTCCGTTTGGATGATTTGTTCGGCTCTTATTATTTGAATCGAGTGCCTGTAAACTAGCTGGATAGGCTAAGTACCCTCTCCACTATAAACAAACCTTTCACCTTTAGCCGTTAACGTTGCAATATATCCGCTTTGTATCCAGCCACAACTAAGAATACAATACTGTACCTGAGAAAGTTTCGTCACTGCTGCTAGCAGGTGGTGGGGGTCTTCTTCCACCCTCTTCTCCTTCTCTGAACATGCTCATGGCCTCAAGATTGAGAGCACACACTCCACGCATGAATGCTTTCTTCATGGTTTCTTCATAACGCTCCCTCTCGGCATGAAGGCGAGCAATCTCAGTTCGCGCCATCTCGAGCTCACGGTTAGCCTAAAACATGAACATCCGCTCATTACAATCTTTTACCCATTTTTGAAGAAAGTGTAAAAAGTCTCTCATAAACTATACTTTAAACGGATGTTAACTACAAACTTATTTCAACATTATTTACCCTGTTAAACATGAAAGTAACATCACAGATGGTGAAGAAGAAGTATAGTCACAAAACTTTAAAGAGATGATTGACTAAGCATTTCCTTTTGTAACAGAAGTCTGAAAAAATTACTCTTTATTCTACTGCACATCAAAAACTTACCGTTTGAAGTCGACTTTCGTAATCCTCCGTTAACTTCACGCACACGTCTTGAGCTTTGGCCTTTGAAAAGATGAATAAAACCTTCAAATATTGAAGCGTTCAAGATGCAAAGCTTTCATTGGGGAACCGCCAAAATTCGACAAGGTGTGAAATAAACACTGCTATTTAGTTGCGAATCTAGTTTAAATTGTTTTGTCTGAAAAGAGTTATGATAAAGTCATGCAAGAGCTTACCTGACAGGCTTTCTCTACTCTTTGTTTCCATTTGGATTCGATAACAGAACGCCAAGCAGTCCAGGCACGTGACTGAAGGGTGTGGTTATAGTGTCTCCTGGCAAGCTTGGAAGCAAAACCCTGAAGAGGCAACCTCAACAAAATAGGTCATTTAAATTGATTCAGTTTTAAAATCATGTACGTCAATAAGAAAAAAGTGTTCCTGTTTACGAAAACTTGATTGTCCACTTTAAACAACAACAAAAAACTCAAAAACGACTAACACAGACATAGTTCAAAAAGCTCTAGTTCGTAATGGAAATCAGAAGTTAAGCGACTAACCTCTCTCTTTTCATCACAATGCCGTAGTTTCCACACTGTAAAAGCCCTTAGCAGCTCACTTCTTTCTTTCTGTGATGGAACACGCAGGCCAGTATTGAATGTAAAGACAAAACAAGTATTTGGCTTTTGTACGAGAGTAACGCAAGCAACAAACAAAGACATTTTTGTGGCTTAGGAGCATTTCTAGAGTAGGCGGCCACTTGTTTGAGAGCTTTAAAGAAAGAAGCGTATTAAACACACTAGGACGTTTTCTCTTCCACGAGATGCAAATTGGTGGCTGGCCTGGGTATGAGATTTATCCCTCAATTATTTCTGTAGCATTTCTGCAATTATCGCTCCAACTGACAATGAACCACAATTGAGTCTTTTGTCTTCTGTAACACAGGGTCTACTCTTAAGTGAGTACAAACTCTTCTCCATTTTATTCATCAGTTTAAAGGAGCTGTGTCACGAAATTCAGCCAAATTATGAAATTACAAAATGCCCGTTAAATTAAGAGAAACATAAAAATAACCGCTTAAAACTTTCAAGGAAGGTTAAAATAACTTAACAGAATTAACAGATGCCACGGATGGGCAAAACTGAAGAAGACTGAAACGGATTGAAATTAGGGCTTTTGAAAACTGTTCAGCCTAACAGTTTTTCAAACTTGATCCCTGCTGCTTGCAACTTCAAAAATAATGCTCAAGAAGACATATTTGTTTGTCTCGGATCCCTGGTTTTGTCATTTACATGTGATTTCTTTGCTTACTTCAAGTTCCATAGCGATTGAGGGCGAGTAATTGGCAAAATTAAACAAAATGAACTGGACTGCCGTGACACAGGCCACAAGTTTATTAGCCCCGGCTATTTCGTGCTAACCCTCATTAAATAAAGTCTTTACTTACTTACTTACTTTAAAAGGCTGTTATTATCACTACAATCAGCGTGCAAAGAAAGTCGTGTCCGATAGCCCGGGGCTAGTGGATTTTGCTATCGGGCTAGTGATTTTTGTCCTTAACTTGCCCGACGGGCAAGTGCTGTGTTTTTGGGAAATTCAAATTACAGAAGGATGGTAATCAATCCTGCCAATCAATAAGGGTTTTGGGGCTAGTTGAAATGACTTGTTGGCTAGTACATGCTGGCTACAGCTTGCCCGAATGGCAGGCTGTGAAACTAACTTTCTTTGCACCCTGACAACTGACGCTGAACCATTCAACAAACCTGTTTTTGAATAGCATTAGTGACATTTGCCACAATCGAGTCTTTGTGAGACAGGGTCTGTTCATAAGTGAGTAATAACTCTTTCTGACTTTCCATTTCATTCATCAGTTTGTTCATTTCAACGCCGTGCCTGTACAAAAGATCAAAAGACAGAACTTAAGGATAGTTTTCTCTAGGAACGCAGTCGCAACGGAGCGCTTAATATGACATAGTGAAAATCAAAAATCGGAATGTCGAATTGTAAGCAAGTCATAGGCGCAACGGGAATCGGAGTCGGAGGAATAGAGCGTTTCCAATATCTTCCGATTCCGCTTTTGACCTTAAGCTTACGATCTACTGGAAACTGGATTTCCGTATTCGGAAGCAGAAGCAGAAGGATAAACCAATCAAAAGCTCGTTCTGATGCTTTGGAATTTGCTCAGTTCTTACGTCTACTTCCGACTATGACACTGACCTTGTAGTTACGTTTTCACTAGATTGTAAAGCTCTGCGTTTCTTACTAAGACCCAGACTCCGCCGCTAGGAAAAACGCCGCTAGGAAAAACGTTCCACAACAAAGCTACCTCACAGAGACAAACAAGCCAACCTAATACTCCTCAATATCTAAAATTTGGACCAAAAATGACAAAAGCGTGAGGTAACACTGGACATGGAGACTTTTCTCACATGTCTAGGCACTGAAACAAGCAGTGGAAATTAGATTAACCTTGCTTTTGGTCCTCTGCGTTTGTTTTGTGCACCAAACCCGAGAGTTCGATAGTGGTCTAGTGCTCGTGTATCCCTCCTCCCTGGGAAAACGCTTGCACTACTCAGTACAAGTGTGACGCAGCCAAACAAGGGAAGAAGCAGGTTGCAGCAACAACCGTTATCGACGTAATTGCCGTTGCGTTTCTAAGGTCAATTCACGCCCAGTTCAAACGTCGATCATTTCATGTACCGAACTTAAAACCTGTTTTAGTCGGCCCAAATGATAGAAGTTTGACCGTTGATTCAGACGTCGAACTTGATTAGTCGGACTCATTTTCACGACGTTCACTGGTCTAAAATGCTTACGAGAGAAAATAAATTTTTTATGGTATTTTATGCATTAGGTTCGGCAAAAATAATGAGAAGAAACGCTCCACAGTCGAAATACTCATGTGGGCCACTCGATCTTAATTCATGGGTCGACCCAAATTAGATAAAAATTAGTCAGGACTTAAATGGTTCGAACGTGCACTTAACTGAAAGGATTAGGGTCGGCACATGAAAAGTTCGACATTTGAACTGGGTCTCAGTGAATTTAACGGCTAAATTTGGGTTATGACGGTCATTGCAAGGTTCAGGGGCACCATCGTGACATACTTTAAAATCAATAAATACAATAAAAATAAAGATAAAAAAAAGCAGTTCAATTCAGACCACAACTGCAGGTGGCGACTGTCTCAAAAAACCTCACGAAGCTCAAGCTTCAGATTCTTTGGGCTACACGAAGACCCATGCACTAAAACAAAGACCTAGTAGACTACAACGAAGACCTGCCAAACGGTAAAAACAAAAAAAAACCGAACTTAACGCATCTCACGTCATTTGAATAACATGTGGCCAACACGGTTGGCAGATGCAACTTCGTTTGAAATATGACACGCACGAGGCATCACAAATGTTTTCTTACCGCTCTTATTTTAAACTAATGGTACAAACCGCTCCCATATTTTCTGTGATGTACCTCTGCCGACGAATTGTATCGGCCAAAAACATTTTGGGACCCGTAAAGCGGTTTTGGATGTTCTGTGCAAGTTAACGGAATTACTGACAATACCCCATGTAACTGCACCGCAGCAATAAGGAGGCGGTGGCTGCATGCAGTAGCTACAATAATAAAATTTTGCGTAATTATTGTCACATGACTTGCTTCACAACTGATCACCTACAGAATTATCTCTTTATGTGCACAACCATCAAAATGGCTTTAGATACGCAAGGAATACGTATTACAAGCGACCATACTTTGGAAACTGCCTCTGAAGTAATGCAAATCCTGAAGATGGATCGGCGGCTACCAAATGGCAGAGAATCGTATTTAAAGCTGTTAGAGGACCTTGACTTCCCCAGTAGCCAAGATGGCAGCAATCAACTCACCCAGTTTGTTTTCCAAGGGCAGTGCATAATACTTGGAGACGCTAGAGTGGGCAAAACAAGCTTAAAGAAGTCACTTACAGGAGAAGCTTTTAATGCTGAAGAACCGAGGACAAAAGGTGTAGAAGTTAGCTTAGTCGACCGGAAATGGAAAACTTCGGATCCCACGACTGGACTCAGCTTTGGAAGCTTTGCTCGATTTGCAGAATCTGCTCTTTACAAGTGTGCCTTGTATGGGCCTGGCGGAGCGGAATTTGTTATAAGCGAAGACATGACTTCCTTTTTTTCCGCTGGAAGGCTTTTGTTTAGCTCGCTCGGGATAATTAGCTGGGTTTTTTCATTTATATGGCTACTTTCTTCAGCTGAGATGTCTGTTACCTTTCGTGTATTTTCTTTCAGTACATTTTTAATAGCAATTTTCCTGCGCTTTATCCGCTTAGAAGACCCACAAGCATATGTTTTGTTTCTTATAATTGTCACTATTCGTCATTTCACAGTAGGCTTAGGGACTGCATATCTTCTATCAGCGCTTCTTAAAAATATAGAATGTGGCAACCTCAAGTTCTCGTCCTCAAAAGAACATGATTCTTGTGGCAACCAGATTGTCTGGACGGCCCACCTATTAATCTTTGCAGCAATGTTTGATTATATTTCTCTCAAAGTGTTGCTAATGAAGATAAGGTATTATTTTAATTTCGTTAATTTGTCCGAGGTAGATTCAACTGTCCCTGGACAAGCGATATTCAAAGATTCGCTACCTATTTTACCGCGAATTGTACTCTTTATTGTACCAATAATAAGCGGCTTTAGTTTTGGTTGCATTATTGGGTTGTCAACTGAGCCTTCTGACTACAAACATTGTGCAATTTTTTACTCTACAGCGATTTCACTTTTTTGTTATCTAATTTACATGCTTGCAAAAACATGTCTGTCTTGGGTCAACTGGCAAGGTCAAGCCGTCATTGCCTTACTTCTTTACATATCAATGGAGAAAGCAGACTTGAGCTTATTTTCATTTTGTTCATTGAAAGTATACATGGCAATGTTTGCTGTATGGGCCTGCCAGACTTTGTATGAAGATTGGGATGACATGAACTTTTTCTTCACCAGTATGGGAAACATCAGGGAAACAAGAGCTAGTTTTACTCTTATACTTATAGAGAAGATTATGTTAAATTTTCGGAAGCTGAAAGTGGCTCTTCATAGTAAGTTTTGCAATCTTAAACTTAACCTCCTAGATTTTGCAGGTGACAAAGAGTACTATGCTTATCATCATATCTTCATGAGAGATCAAGCCATCTATATTGTTGTCTTTAACATGGCAAACTTTGCAAACAATAATTTCAGAAATATTGAAACAAAAATCCAAAGACTTCGTTTCTGGATGGAATCAATCTGTAGTAAAGCAAGACCCAAAACACCAATCTTCCTCGTTGGAACACACAGAGGAAATATGAATACGATTGACCTAAAAACTATTGACAAACATCTGCAACAACATCTAATGTACTCTTTCAGTGATGAGTTGATGATGAATAAGGAAGACAAGCTTTTGTACTTTCCAACTGAGAACACTCGGGGAAGAAAAGACCAAGGAATTCAAAACATTCAGAAAGAAATAATGTCCACAGCTGAGGAACTCAGACCAATTATGGGAAGAGAAATTCCTTATTCATGGATAAAAATTCAAGATGCAATCATCAATCTAAGTGAGAACAGGAATGCAAAGTTTTGTGTGCCACTGAGAAAGTTTCCAGTTTCAGTTGGGAACTTCATTTGTAGCAACTGGAGTAGGGAAACTTTGAAGTACTTTCACGAGAAAGGACTGGTGATATATAATCATGACAGGCAAGGTTCTGAGCTGTCCAGTTGGATTTTGCTAAAGCCAGCTATACTGGTAGACATCATTATTCAACTGGTGTCGCCACTAACAGATGAAGAGGTGTATTTTCAGCGTGGTTTCAGGCGCGATTGGAATCTACTCCATGATACTGGAATGCTCACAGAATCCCTTCTAAAACACATTCTCTCCAGATGCCAAGAGAATGAAGAAGCAATGAAAGGTTTTTTGGAGGAATATGACATAATTTGTCCCCTGTTCTTCCATGCGACAAACCAGGAGGAAGAAGCACAAGTCACACACTTTGTTCCTTCACTTCTGCCAGTGTCGACAATGGCGACCGTGACAACACCAGTCTGGTTTGATGGTCCTTATGACAAGACGTTTTACGTGTTCTTCAATCGATTTCTACCACAGGCACTCTTCCAGCACCTTCTGTCACGTGCACACAGGAACAGCAAAGCAGAATTTGTTCATGGTCAGCCAGTTATATGCCAGGATGTTGGCAGGTTTTGGTTGTGGCCCAACCAACCATACAGGCTGTTACAGCTTAAGGATGAAGACATGATTGAAGTCACATTCACTTACAAGAGGTCAGTTTAATAATTTTCATGTTTTCTTTAGACAACAGAATCGTAGATTTGTATACTGCGGGTAAAGCAGCGAGGTTTTTACCATAAGAGAGACTACAGTGGGTTGCATCACTTGCTCATTAGTTTGCGCCTAAATAGGACGCATTCTGTGAAATAGTTTGCACACCGATGGATGAAAATTCCTTCAAAAAAGCGTTTGTAGTCGAAGAACCAAAACATTTGCTGTTTTGCACGTGACGCAAACAAAATTCAAAACTAAAGAATTATAAATTCTTCGGAATCTTTATCCTTTACGCAGGTATTAGAGCATTTAAACATTGGGTACTAGAGCATCCTAGCAGTCTTCTATTCGAAGGGGTATAAACGTTAGTTTCGTAACAAAGCGCGCTTGAGTTTGCGAGATTTTTTCGTGAGGCGGAAGTTAAATGGCAGCCAAAAAAGCTTACATACAGGTTTAATTTGAAATAATACTATCTTGACAGTCCTTAATCCACAGTAAGTATAACGTTCATGTTTATGAGTTCCTCGAGTGATGAATTAACTTAAAAAAAGATGTTTTTGTTGGATTACGGCCGCCATATCGGTGCCGATCTCAAAGAGGTACCAATACAGCGTGTCAATACTGGGGGAGGGATCAGATTGGGTTGGTGCTTTTGGACTAAGGATCTGCTACACTAAGCGGCGAAGAGGAAAGGGAAAATACCGTCTTCCTCATTTGCTATGGTTTGTCACCAACTTTGTCACAAAACAAATGAGCGGCATGACCTGTGAGATGAAAGCTATTAACTATTACTTGCAGAAAAATACTCATGCTAGAAAATCTTTCAAGAATTTTTCGCTTACTGAACGTAAGATTGGTGTTCTCTCTCTTTACACGATGTAGTTTCCTTGTAGCGCGCGAAGTTAGTTTTATATAAATCAGCTTTAAGGGGTGAAGTAGAGAACCTTAATTCGGGTTTTGAAAAATACCGCATGCAACAGACTTACCTCAAGTTATGAATATATGAAAATCATATATGTGAACTACGGGGTGAAGAATTATATGAAAGTAGATCAATTATTTTGCAGGCTTTCTTTTCGCAACTGCAAAAGTTGCGTCTATGAATGCGATGAGCTACTTTCAAATAAGACTTATCTCAAATTGACTCTCTTCATATTTCTCGCGGCTTTACAGCCTAAACAAAAGCAACAGCTACACAGGCTAACCCATAAATTAAGATAAAGCATTTTATCTCGCAAAGGAAAAGTTGCATCTACCTGATTCTTGGCGTGGCTGTTTACCTATTTTATTTTTTCTTACATTTCAAACAAAATTAGAGGAAGTACTTGAAACACTGTCAGTAGAGCTATGTATCCCTAACTGTTAAAAAAAATTGCCCATATTTGGTATTAAATAGCCAGACTAAGAAATGATACTCCATTTCACAGTGAGGGACAAGAGATGAAGCCATCAGCTGTACTGGCTCACATTTTCAGCATGGTCAATGGGATTTGTAAGCAACATTTTCCTTACATCAAGTTTCACTGTGGCCCATTATGCCCCTCAGATAGGTGCCCTGGACACCAAGGAAGTTATATACCACACCCTGGGGTGCAGCAATTATATTTTCGACGCCATGTGATCAATGTGTTGCCTGCCCGCCAACAAGCTGTTATTTCTTCATTCTACTGTGTTAACGACAACTTCGAAGAGCAACTGAGGGAATGGGTAGAACACTATGATGACTGAATGAAACGATTTCTAAAAGTTGGTTTTAAAAAGATATTGGGACAGTTTGTTACTGACAGGGCTGTCATTAAGAGGCGGGGACTGGGAATTTCCCCCAGCAACTATGAACGTGGCCCCCGAGTGCTCTCAAAAGAAAATAGGAGAAAAAGAAATAAGAACCAGAAGAAAAAGAATAGAACCAAAAGAAACCCCTAGCTGTTTGATTCTCTGCCTACTTGTTGTATTTACCCGGAAACTTGAAATCTTAGTGACAACCCCGTTAACTGTATCAAAAGCTGGGCATATGTACCAAAAGGGACAATGGCAGCTTATAGAATGTAACCTTAAGAGTCAGCATTAACAACTGTAGTAGGAGTTTTTATCAAAACTGAACACAATATAACCGAAACAGCAAATGATGTTGTACATGATTGCATGCTTTGCATCACTGTCTTAGAATGGTCCAGCTGTCCTGTATGGACACCAACTTTGTAATTGGCACTTGACTTTTTGATTTGTGTTTATTGTTGTTGATGTTTTGTAAAGTTAAACAAAAAAAAAAGGTTCTGCAACACCGCAGATATATATTTTATGAAAACAATTAATTCAAGTGTTGAATTAGCTACATGTACATGTATCTTAATATGACACTTCACTTCAGTATAAAAATTTACAAAATCTTTTGTTTTCCCCCTTTTCATAATTTTTGAAACAAATGTTACTTTTACAATAATAATTATACAGTAGATGACAAAATTTAGAGGGGCCAGCCATGGTTTAATTATGTAATTATATCAGTTTATGATGAGGTGGAATCCATATAAGCATTCTCAAGTAGCAGTTATGCTTAGTGAAAAGGTGTTTATCTTCGACAGATCTTACTCTAATTGAAGCAAAATATAATAATATTTAATTTCTAGACTATCTACCAGGGACATTTTATCGGCACCTACATGTACACTCTGTGGTACACATTGTCTGTTACACTGTATTGTTAGCCAAAGTGGTTGCATTACATTGGAACTAGCCAGGGAAGGATACAAATCAAGATCAGTGATCCAAGATCACTCGGATCATGGTACACATCAAATGAACTGATAAATCTCTTCCCCGGGTGGATTCATCAGATCCTTTGATGCACTACAGTCATGATAAGAAGTCAACCTCTGATCACTGATCCTAATTTGGATCACCCCAATGGAATGCAACCTTTATTTTAAGTTGAGAACTACCTGACAGTACAATGTAAAGAAAAGCACATTATACTGCTTGGGAAATGATACACGTACAGATTCAAAGCATTGTGCTGAAGGGGATTTGTTTTTCAGGTCTCTTATTCCTCTTCCAAGAGCTTTCTAGATCAATAAATTCTCGCCAAATTATTATTTTTATTAAAAATTATTTTAAATTTGTTGGAGTTTTGTCCTTTTTTAAATTTTTTTTTTTTAATAGTACAATCTTATTCTCTTCTTAACATCATTTGCTTTTTTGTTATTTTGTCTTCTTTGTTTCCTTCTTTCTTATTCTTTTCTTTTTTTTTTTTTTTGCAAAATTAATGTCATCTTGAGGTGCTCAGGAGGAAAACTTCTTACCGCAAATCCTACGTGTATAATGTACATCTAAGATTGATCTATCCATATGGTGGATTATGTCACTGATTTATAATCAATCATCCTTACCAAATGATTATGTGGTTTTGATATACACTGTAACAGTGTGCAAGCATTCTTGAATCCTGCATTTTGCAATAATTACATGTACATTAAATTTAGAACATTTCTGAAAATAGTACCTACATGATTGTACATTTTGGGGATTTAAAACAACGTACAGTACCTTCTCTTCTCCTGCATCAAAAGCTGCTTTTGTTTTTCAAAAAGACCCATCTTACATTGAGCAAATTCAGCCTGTGTTGTAAAGAAACAATACCTATGAATAAATGATGGCCATGTACCGCATAATATAATAAATTCAAACTACTTTATAAATGTACACTGTATATGGACAGTAGTCTAATTCCAGATTTGTTGATACTGGTTTGGGGGTTGTTTAACCTTTTTTTTACTGTTAGTAGAAAAACACAGTGCAGGTAGCAAGAAAGAGGAAAAACCAGAGTGACATTTCTTCTTTGGATAGGGAGATTGGCCGCCTATAATGGCAATTCACATTTACAGGTTTACGTGATACACACACACAAAAAGTTCTAACAATTTTGATATCAAATTTCACACTTGGGTCAGAGGGCTACGGGATGAACACAAAAGATATCACTTTGAGGCTCAGGGACAACAATCCATTATTTTCTATTGTTTTATTCCTCTCAAGCCCAAGAGCCTTGAGGAAAAATATATATTCATGTACATTTGACCCTCCATTATTTAAAAGGCCAGAAATCAAAGTCCTGAAATAAAAGGCCATTTGTACAATGGCATCATTTTACTACTACAACCAGAATCTTCTTCATTTTTCCATTCACATTTAAATTTGGTAATCCCAGCGAGGTTGAAATAACAAAGGTGTATAATTTGCACAAGAAAGGAAAAACCCAAAGGATTCTGGTCGTAGTAGTAAAATGACGCCATTGTGCAAATGGCCGATTGTACAAAAGATATGGAAGCTAAACCTCAGTCTATAAAGGAGCTGCCTCTCTCCCAATGAGAGTTTTCCCATTCAGTGCACCCTGTTTTAGCCAGAAGGGTGTCCAGCTGCCCTATGGACGCCCATTTTCGGAAGAAATACAAGGAAAATACACTTAATCTCTTATAGTTTTATGGGAAAACATGCCTTCTGGACGGCCAGTTTTCACTGTCTATGTTAAAGTGTCACCTCTATTAAGCAGCCATCAAGCACTTGACATATTAAGTTTGGCACCCGGTTCATGATGAACCCTGATTGAGTGGCCACCCTCCATTAAGCAGCCACTCCCCGAACGTCAGGAATGGCCACTTAAAGGGGGTTTAACTGTCACTATATTGACATTGTTCTATTAAATACAGTGTACACTTTGAACAGATTACAATATTTAGGGCTTCTGATAGGTTGTGGAAAAAAAAAGTCCAAAAAAGGTTACTTCCACAAAAACAAGGGGGGAGTCATAGAAGATTTGGGGTTACTAAGCGGCTTGCATAATAGTGCACTTCTCAGAAAAACTGTTCTTGGTTAATTAACTTAGATTGAGGAGGGTGTTAAGGTTCCATCTTGGGACTGGTTTTCTTACTATTAATTTTAATTACAGCACTTTTTCTCATTTGGCAACCTTTTTTTAAATAATTTTAACTCCTCCATTGGCAAAGATAAAAATAATAAATAAACAAATAAATACACTGTCCTAATAAGCTTAGCTAACCAAAACATTTCTCTTTAGATCCAAGCACCAGTTATCAAGTAAAGCTTCCATTCTTGCTAGGTCAGCATCTATTACAGGTGAAGCTGGTGCAGGAGGAGTGCCTGGGGATTCCTCAGGTGAAAGGGATGATAAAGACTTCTCTTCAACGTCTGGAGTCTTAGCTGCAGTTATTGTGGAACTTGATTCTAGCATTGTACAAGTTAGACAAACAAACATTTCGATCATTTTTTTTTTACAGGGTAATCCACATCCACTCCTCTTTGCTATACTGTGTATGGATCCATCGAAAGCCCCCCACCCCAACCCAGCAGTCCTATGGTTGAGGTAAGTTGACTTTTTCCCCTAAGGAAAAAAAAGTACCCCACCTCAAAAATATTCCATACAGTATGTATTAAAGGTGCATACACAACCTCCTCAGAAAAGACTTTTGACACCTACTCCTTGCGTCAGAAAATCTAATTCAAAGCTAGGGGACTGTGGATATGTAAATATGGAATGGTCCATGTAAACTATTTGATATGACAATATGCAGGTATTTACCCTGGTATAGTGCACACCCATTTACATTGTATAATATGCCGTCAAAAAATTGAATTCATTTTGGAAAAGAAAGACAAAAGAAAGGGAAAATGGCAAAACAAAAGCTTACATTTTTTTCCCATTCACAAGATAATAAATTAATGTAGACCATACCCATTCACTCCTTATCGTGATATTATTGGACACATTTTTATAACAGTGTGAATATAAACCGGGGCCACGAAGACAAAGTTGACTGGTGGATTACAGGAAAGTAACAATACATTCCAAGAAAGTTAGTAGTCAATCATAATTACCATGAAACGGAACAAACACCACGGATTGAATTCAACCAGTCACAACCTACAGATGTGACCTTATGAACAAGCTAAAGAAAGCCTGTGTTTGCTGAGTGGTCCGATAGAATGAAAGACAGATGCGAAGAACGCAAATGATAGTTATATTTTTGACTTGAGGTCATATGTTATCGCCAAGCACAGCGATGGTAGCGAAGAAATTGCTGGTAGACGAAAAAAAATAACGGCTTGTGTCAAACAATTATGTCTCTGGGGTGTTATTTGTAAAGTTTCGATTAGAAAAAGATCGTCTGGTGAAACATTTTGCTTTCTTGAAAAACATTTGCTGTTTTTACATGTACTTAAACCTGTGCTTCGAGTAACTTATTGTTTACTTACGAGCTGTTGATTGGCTTACGAACAACTTTCTTGTAATGTATTGTTATTTTCCTGTAATATGATTGGTCAACTATGTCAAAGTGGCCCTAGTTACAATAGTCACACTGTAATCTGTGGACGACACCCAGTGCATGATGCTGCCCTTCAAATGAAACCTCAGGTTTACCTCGGTGTAAAACCTGTGAAAGTTTGCTTTGTTTTCTAGGTATTATTTTCCTTTGCTCCATTCACAGGCGGCCCAAACTCATTACATGAACGCGGACGTGACTCTTGCTTGCGAGCGGTGTTGTGTTACAAACGGTTATTTACAAAGGCTTGTATGGGATAGATCGGTTTTTCTTAAAAGAGATAAAAAATGTTATGTTTTTAAATAAAATCGACGTACCTTATTGCCTTGTTGTATTCTTTGTTGTTTGCCCGCGTCTCAGGCCGTTTTGAAGCGTTTTCAGCGAGTTAGCGCTATTTTGGTGTTCCACTGCTAAGCAGTGGAACACCAAAATAGCGCTAACTCGCCGAAAACGCTTCAAAACGGCCTAAGACGTGGGCAAACAACAAAGAATACAACAAGGCAATAAGTTACGTTGATTTTATTTAAAAATATAACATTTTTTATCTCTTTTAAGAAAAACCGATAGATCCCATACAAGCCTTTGTAATTAACCGTTTGTAACACAACACCGCTCGCAAGCAAGAGTCACGTCCGCGTTCATGTAATGAGTTTGGGCCGCCTGTGCTCCATTATGTTGACTTATCAGTAGCTTCCTTGTATTTTTTGTTTTACATCACTCGGGAGTTTCACAGGTTTTTACACCGAGGATGAGCTGTTAACCTCTTTTACCGAACATTTTTTAAAATCGCATTTATTTCAAAAATAAATTTGAAATTGAAAGAATCTTTTCTGTTGCCCTTTATATGGGTGTGCGTCCTTAATTTTAGCTGTTAGTATTAATTTACCGTCTCGTAACAGAGAATCCCTTGCTATAGAGCCCTGCCCCTGAAAGGAAACTCTAAGCGATGGAGTACTGGGCAGCTGTTTAACATCTTCTTTAGCTGCCGTGTGAGACACTTCTTCTGACTTAGAACTTCGAGTAGAGACAGAAGTGCTGCTTGACGTCGACGAGGAGCTGTTGCTGTCTGTTTCAGTAGAAGCGGTCACATCATCTTTCGTTGTAACACTCTGCTCATAAACGGTGGGACACACTTGGATTTTCGGTGTTACAACAGCATACTTTAGTAGCTCTTCATACTCTCTTTGCAAAGCAGAAGAAACAGAACTACCCGGCGAATCCATGTCGGAAATATGAGGCACAGAATCATTGTCAGACGACGCCATTTTGACTGTGCTTGTCGTGAATTCAAAGATAACACTCGTTTTTATCCAGGCTTTTGATTGGGTGAAAGAATGATTATACTGCGCTCTGATTGGTTCTGATGGAAGACCGACTGTCCACAGTACTTTTACTGTGATTGGCTGCCCGACCATCAAAATGGCCGACACTGCAAAAGTTTAGCACTAAATGAATGTTTCATGTTTATCCATTTATCAGCGAAACGTTCTGAACATCCATCTGCCGTATATTTTAAGTGGTTTGGATGACGGCTTACATTGGTCTAAAATGTCATTTCTGAGCTGATCGAAGGTTGTACTGAGCACTGATGATTCGCGTTCGTGGATCGTAATTGTCAGACTAGCTTAAAGGTTAGTAGGTAAGCTTAAGTGTACATTAGATTTTTTTACCAGTTTTTACGTTTCTATAACCAATGAAAGGGACGAGGGACTTTCCCTTTTTTACGTCACAGAATTGGACACACCTCTAACTATGCCCCTCATTCAGTAAGGCCAAAAACAAAAAACTAACCAGTCATTATGCCGTCGACGGTAGACATTCGTGAATTCTAGAATTCTGCTTAAGTCTAAAAGTCTCCGTCCATTAGTAGCTGTTTCAGTGAAGCTGGACAATGGATCGGCAAGAGAGTATTAAAGGTATATGTAACTAAAAGTTCGCCAATGCAAAATACTAGAAAATACGTAATTGTAATGTACGCTTACAACGCATTACTGAACTCAAATGTGCTCAAAGGTTTCGATTTAATAATGGGCTCGAGCGCACCGTCGTCCACGATTGTTCAGGTTTTCTGTTATCGTCCGAAATTTAAATGCATTTGTGAGGTTTCAGTATTTCCAAATCCTTGGAAATCCTTGATCTGGTATTTTGAGCATCGACGACGAGTAATGTATGTTTCGTTTTCTCCATTTTTGCGCAGTTTAGAATGATGCAATTGCATCGAGAACCGCCGATCGAGAACAAGATCTCTTATACGATACGAATCATTTTCATTAAAAGTGTGGCGAATAAGTTTATTGATGCATCAGTATAACAAACTATTTAGTTGCAGCAAAGTAAATCACTGTACCTTTATACATGAGCTTTTTTTTAACTTTCCTTTTACACGACGAGTTCGAGGTACATTTACGACTAGCGCGATTTGTTTAACTAATCATCTAAGAAACATGCAATTATTTATGACGAAGAAGGCATAAAACGCGAGTCTAATTTGTTTTGGATAAGATGCTTGTTTCTAAGAGACTACTAATGTAGCTAATATTATATATTAATCTTTGTATGAATTTAGTTCGGCATATGCAATCAATTAGATTGGCACCACTGGAGCACGACGGTAGAAATGCAATGGGCCCTATTCATGTACATATAATTGCAGGTAGTCATTGTAGGTACATGTACATTGTAACCAATTTGTTACATGAAGTCCTTGTATATTTTTCTGATGTATTAGTTGAAAATAATTTTGTGATTGAAATAATGACATTGACATATTAAAAGAGATTTCTGAAGACATATAAAGGTAAAAACGAACAATAAAATCCGACGTTTTGGAGTAGTTGTGATTCCATTAGCAAGGAAAAATGTTTTTGATCGTGCAAATTACAGCATTTACATGTAAGGCGATGTGGCGCAAAAATTAACATATATGTACATGTAACAGGGTGCGAAGGTTTAATATGAAAATACTTTTACATGAGTTTGTGACCTGTGTGATGCAGGCTATGTAGGTTACACACTTGGACATTTACACAATCGTGTAAAAGGACATAAACAACAGTCCTCCACCATTGCCAAACATTGCAAGAATGTGCATGGGACGATCCCTCAGGACCTGCTGAAATGCTTTGAAGTGCTTAAGAAATGCAGGAACAAATTTGACTGTTTAGTGTTTGAAATGCTTTTCACAAGAACCTTAAAGCCAAATCTCAACATGCATTCAGACTCTATCCATGCAAAAGTATTTTCATAATCTTCACACTCTGTTATCTTAATTTTCACGCCACCTTGTGTTAAATGCTGTAATTTGCATGATCAGAAACATTTTTCCTTGATAATGGAGTTGTGACTGCTCTGTAACGTCGGATTTTATCGTTCATTTTTACCGTTTTATGAAATAATGACATTGTCCAAAATTTTCAGGCCATTACTTGGTGAAATTAAGAATTTACAGTAAGACACCAGTGTACAATGCACCTGCATTCTATACACGCATGGTGTTCATCTGATAGTGTATCCTTATGGTTAGACTGAAATTTTACATCATCACTGTTTGATGTTACAGGTTGTAATATCTTATGTACATCAGTTACCAGCAATTTAATCTTATACTTTGCTTTAGGATCGTGGCCTATCGCTGCTTGTAATTCTCTGGAGCCAGGAACATGCAAACTGATAATTCTTGAAACCTGCCGACATAATGTCCAGGAGCTCTTGTGCTTAGCACCAGAGGATTCACTCAGTTCTCCACAGCACCATTTTCCTGCCCAATTTGTTAAAGTTCAGTATGTCATAGCACTGTGCAATGAAGTCTCTCAAGAATTGCTTGATTGCAGATTGGAGCCTCTTCAAAATAACGCTATGTTTAGGATTGTAAATGTGAGTACAATACATGTAACTAAAGTAATGGTCATACAGTCAAAGCTCTGTTAGCATTACTGTCATAATCAGACAGCTCTACTTACAGCCGCCCTCACAGTACCCTGTATTTTAACTCCCATTACAAACTCTGTGTTATTGCATTTTCATAAATGGACAATTCCTGTATGCAGCCACAGAAACTTACATGGTTTAGAAGTAAGGTTTTAGGTTAGTTTTTAAGCTCCTGTAAGAGGACATCTTAAATGACATCTAACTCACCTTT